CATCTTGGCTGTGGGTCCTGGGAGACCTGCTCCCTGCCTCACACACCTTTCCCCACCTGGCCTGGAGGGGGCGGAGCTTGGACTGACTCCAGCTACAAAAGCGGAGGCTGCTGAACAGACTTTTCGGCTGGGGTGTTGTTTGGGGGAGGGTTGTAATGGGTGGGGTGTTTTTGCTGTTGGCTTTTGTGTATCTATATTTCAGATCTTGTGATTTATGTGGAAACCGTTCCGTTTGGCTGAGTATTTTTCGATGTTTTGTTTACTGTTTATGACTACGCTTGCTATGTTGCAGTTATGTATATTTTTCGTGTGCAAGCTGTCTTGAGCATGTCTTGAAATGTGGAAAGGCGTGATACAAATAAAATTAGGCATTTATGTAAAGTCCCATGGCATGCTGCAACATTTGCAAGAGCTCAGTATTTTGGTGGCAGCGTCTGGACTTCGGAACTCCCTGCCTATTGAATACCTCCGTAGCTCTACACCCTTTTCATCTCCTGCTAAAAACATTTTTGTTTGGCAAGCCTAGCCAGATGCTTAGAAAGCTGATGCGAGTTTTGATCCATCATTCTTTTAACTTTTCCAAAGTCTAAAATGATTGTGGTTAATTCACTCCCTTGATCGTTTTACTGTGTCATCTTAATTATGAACTGCTTTGAGGGTTGCTGTTGTTGTTACAATCAAACAGTGCATATATTATACAGAATAAATAAAATAAAATGCAATATTAAAAGCAACTTATTTAGATTATTTTTTGCAGAGCGGGTAGATGTGGGTGGAGGGTGTGTCTTGCCCACACATAAGGATGATAGCAAGGGAGAGCAAGGAGCAAAATCCTGCTTTTACCGTCTGCAGGAAACAGACCCCCCTCTAATGTTTTTCTCTATTGTTCACTTCCTCAACAGGCCATTCTGCAAGATAAGGACTTCTGACCCAAGCCAGGGAATCCTCCAGGCCAACACAGAAACCTCCCTGCACTATTATTGTTGCCCTGCATAGCTCAGTATCGCTTGCCCTGACTGGCAGCAGTAGCCCTCTCCAGGGTTTTCAGGCGGAGGGGCGGACATACCCAGTCCAATCTGGTAGGTGCCACAAAGGACTGGAGCCACAGTCTTTTCCCCACAAAGCAAGCAGGAGGAAGAGTACAAGCAGGGCACTCCAAGGTAGACTGCTCCTGTATAGGGAGGCTCCGATTTGGCTCCTGCTCCGATCTAGCCCTTTCTTCCCCGAGTCAGGATAGATCCCACAACCGAAGGACTTGTAAGCAGCTGAGGACCTTCCTCCCCCCTTCCCATTTTAAGGAACGATTCACACAGTCATCCCTTGACCCAGAATCAGTATTTGTGCCGAAATGCTGTAAATACAGAACATTTCCTATCCCATTGCAAGTGCAATGGGGTTGTTAAAAAAAGGAAAGAAAGATCTGAGCTCTCGCATTCAACTGTCGGTAATCGCAGGAGGCAGCCTTATACAGACAGAGTCAAACCATTGGTGTATCTAACTCAGTACTCCCTACACTGGCTGGCAAGAGCAGCTTTCCAGGGTTTCAGGCCCTACCAGGAGATGCCAGGCGTTGAACCTGGGACATTCTGCATGCCAAGCAGGTGCTCCACCTCTGAGCTATCAAACAACCCTTAAGATACCAGTCCTCATGATCATAAATAAAGGACTGACTTAAATGTTTATTTACCTCTTTTTTATCCCACATTTCCCTCCAAGCAGCTCAAGGTGACAGTTCTCCCCTTCCTCATTCTAATCCCCTACAGAGCCAGATCACTGGTGCATCTAGCTCAGTATTGTCCACACTGACCGGCAGCAGCTATTCCAGGATATTAGGCCAGGGACATCCCCAGCCTTACATGGAGATGCCAGGGGGTTGAACCCAAGAACTTCAGATGCTCTACCACTAGGCTATAGTCCATGGACAGCTCAAGAGAGTGAGCCAAGCTAGAATGAAGGGGCACGATGGGGCACAGAGATTGGTTTTGAGTACAGTCATACCTTGGTTTTCGAACAGCCTTAGTTCTCAAACGTTTTGGCTCCTGAACGCCGCAAACCCAGAAGTGAGTGTTCCGGTTTTCGAACGAATTTTGGAAGCTGAACGTCCGACAGGGCTTCCACAGCTTCCGATTGGCTGCATTAGCTTCCTGCAGCCAATTGGAATCCGTGCTTTGGTTTCCGAACGTTTTGGAAGTCGGATGGACTTCTGGAACAGATTCCATTCGACTTCCAAGGTACGACTGTACAGTGGTACCTCGGGTTAAGTAATTAATTCGTTCCGGAGGTCCGTACTTAACCTGAAACTGTTCTTAACCTGAAGCACCACTTTAGCTAATGGGGCCTCCTGCTGCCACTGCGCCACCGGAGCACGATTTCTGTTCTCATCCTGAAGCAAAGTTCTTAACCTGAAGCACTATTTCTGGTTTAGCTGAGTCTGTAACCTGAAGCGTATGTAACCTGAGGTACGACTGTACTAGGACTGAGCTGAGGGCCCTTATTCCATATCTCCCCAAAAATCTGTTCCTAGTTACATCAAGCTTTCTTAATTTCAGAAGCCTAATGGCGGTGATGGGAAGAAAAGTCATTTAACGTAGCAGGAGTAAGAAATCCTTGCAGATCTGTTGCAAACCACCCAGAGGTCTCCCAGTAGATCCCAATCTCCCAGTAGATCAATAGTCAGAGTCATTAACCAGCTGGGGCCAAAAGCTATAGCTCCATGGTAGAGCATCTGTCCTGAATACAGAACACCCCAGGTTTTATCTCTGCCATTTCCAGGTATGGCTGGGAATATCTTCCACCTAAAACTCTGGAGAGCAGCTGCCAGTCAGAGTAAACAGTCCTGAGCCGGGTGGCCAACAGACTGACTCTGCAGATGGATTCCATTTTAAAGCAGCCTTTAATTCAGAACCATGAGGACCGGAATCTTGGTTTCAGTTTTAAAGGAAGAGCTGTAGCTTCCTGGTACAGCACCTGCCTTGCACGCAGAAGGTTCCAATTTCAATTCCCAGGTAGACCTGGCAAAGACCCTCCCCCTGCTGCCGCCAGTCAATAATGCACTAGGTAGCCCAATGGCTTGATTCAGCTTGCAATCTAGGGGGAAGTATCCTAGTGGGACAAGGTGTGCCTGGTTCAAGCACATAATCCAACAATGTTATTTGGAGTATTGTTACATTCTGAAACAATTTAGCCACATTTGATTGTCGCCGTAATGATGCAATGATCTGCATTTATTTTCCTTCTGTGGCAAGCTGCTGCTTTCAGCAGACTTATACAGAAAAGTTGTGTTATCAGATCTAAATATTAGCCGTACCACCGCTCAGCAGCATCTTCAGGTACGGCTGGGAGAGAACCTTGCCTGAAACCCTGCAGAGCTGCTGCCAACCAGTGCAGACACAATGGAGCTACACGGAGTCACATTCTGACCCACTATAAGTTCCTCTCTTCCTAAATTATAGGGGCCTAGTTTTGCTCAAAGCGACCGGCCAACCCTGGAACCCCCAACCACAAGTAAGAGAAGATCGCACCTGCGCCCAGGTAAAGATGCATCTCAGCACACCTGGCGAGGGATCTCTCCTCCATCCCTGCATGAAACTTTTAACTCCTGAGAAACTACAAATAGCAACCAAGACACTCGGATCTCCTATTAATTAGCCAAAGCAGGGCGGGAGAGAAAGAGCTGAGATTTCCTGCTGGAGAAGAAGGTTTTACAATTCAGGCCTCCGGATTTTATATAACGAGCAAACGCCCCATTTCAGATCCACAGGGAAGTGGTGTTTATTTTTGGAATGGGTGGGTGGAACTCTGCCCCAATGATCTTACAATCTCCTACATGCACACACACTGACCCCAAGGAATGCCAGGCCGCTTTAGGAAGGCCTTGGTTGAGCAGCTGAAAGATGGGGTCACATGTGTACACACGTCTCTCCGAGGGTAAGGGGGGGTGTCAGCAGGGGGGGGGAGCACCCGGACACCTGGGTTCTGCTTGCAGGATGGGAGCCCTTCTGGGCTCTGTTCCAGGTTACTGGGAGTGTGATAAGTAAGGGGTGTGTGAAGGCCTAGGCATTTGGAGGGGGGGGACTCCCTCCTCAGTGCTGGTTGGGAGGGGCCCTAAATGATGCCTGGGAGAGGAGGGGAAAGAAAGAGGGGCTGGGTGGGGCAGGAGGCTCCTAGGCAGTCAGACCATTGGCTCATCGATCCCTGTACTGTCCACACAGACTGGCAGCAGTTCTCCAGGGCACCAGAGAGGCAGGGTAGAGATGCCACCAGGAAGTGAACTTGGTGCCTTCTGCATGTGGAGCAGGTGTCCTTCCTGCCCCCCGCCCCCCAGCCTTGGCTATAGAAATCGCTCAGAGAAGCAGCATGAGCAGAATCAGAATGCAAATATCCCTGTCTGTGGTTGATAAGGGGGGAGGGGGAGGACCAGGACGCCTGGGTCCTATTCCTGGTGCCTCTATGGTTAATGAGGGTGTGCACCAGGGCCCTGTATTCCTAGTCTCCCTATGATGGGGAGGTGGGTCCTATTCCTGATATTTCTATTGGGAAGAGAATGGCCGGCTCATATTCCCAGTGCCTCAATTGGGGTGGGGGCACTAGGACGCCTGGGTCCTATTCCCGGTGTTTACGGGGGAGGGGGTCACCAGGACACCTGGCTCCAGGTGTATCCACTGGGGTGCGGGCACCAGGGCGCCTGGGTCCTCTCCCTGGCGTTTGCAGGGGTGGGGTGCGGTGCGCCAGGACGCCTGGGTCCTCTTCCCGGGGGCCGATGGGGGCGCCTGGGTCCCCGCGGTGGGGGCGCCGCCAGCCAGGCAGCCCGAGGGCTCGCCTTTCTCTCCCCGGCGAGGCTCCGCGCCGGTCTCCCCGCAGCCGCAGCGGGAGCAGCAGGCCCGGCCGCGGCGCTGGCCCTACCTGGCGGCCGGTGGCGTCGGATCGGGCGCCGGAGCTGGTGCTGCAGGCCCGGCCCCGCCTTCCTTCCCCGCCCGCCTTCCCGGCGCCGCCGGGCTCACCTGGGGCGCTGCAGTCGGCGCACACCTCCGCGCGGGGCACCTTGCGCGACATCCTGAGCGGGCGCCGCGCGCCGCGACCACCCCGCCGGCGCCGGGCTCCCTCGGCCGCCGGGCTCCGGGGCTCAGCGCGGCGGCGGCGGGGGCAGCAGCAGCAGCAGCAGCGCCAGCAGCAGCAGCAGCCGCCTCCTCCTCCTCCTGCAGGAAGAAGCCAGGCGGGCGGGCGCGCAAGGCCGGCCCTCCGGAGGCGGAGCGAGGCGCGCGGCGGGAGGGCGCAGCCAGGCACGACCTCGCCGGGAACGAGGAGGAGGAGGAGGAAGAGGAAGCAGGACGCCTGGGTCCCCGGGAGCAGCCGCGCCGGGACGCCTGGGTCCCTTCCAGACCCGCGGAAAGAGGGAGGGAGCGAGGGGCGCCACCCGGAGAGGGATCCTGGCTTCTGGAGCTCAGGACATCTGGGTCCTTTCCTCCTCGGGGAGAGTGGATGCGCGCAGCAGAAACGCCTTGACTTTGCAGGGCAGGAGCCTCGGGGCGGGCTCTTTGCACATGCTCAGGAGCGCTCTTGGAGGAGGGTTCCATTTTAGTCGGGGTGTATTTCATTCGTTTATTATTATTATTATTATCTAAATAAATGTATCATTATTGTGTACTGTTTCAATTCTGCTCGAGTTTATTTGCTTTCTAACAATTCTCTTCCGTTTTAGCTGTTTGGGTTTGTGTAAGCTGCCTCCAGTCCCGGGCTGGGGAAAATGTGGGATAACAACATCAACAATATTTGTCTCTTTCTACAAAGAAAAGGGGGGTTGTATCGAATTAAGTTATGCTCTCCGCAGACCCATGGAAAGCAACGGCACTGACTGAGTTATGCCTATTAACTTTAATGTGTCTGCTCCAAGTAGGGATGACATTGGGCACAGCCAAATGTGAACAAGAAGATGAAATACTAAACAGGTGAACTTGAATGGGAGATTAAAAAGAAAGCCCACGAAACATTTCCTAAAAGCGTTGATCCAACAATGGAGTTGAAAGGACCAATCTTGCCACACCCCACGGAAAGGATAAGGCCCACAATAGAGGCTAAAACTGCAGTATTAGCTGCGATTCCTGCATTGGAAACCAAAAGATGATCTTTTGGTTTCCTTCCAACTCTATGATTCTGTTATTTTCATCATAATTATTATCGTTATCATCACTGATTTATTCGTTGCCTTCTAAATATTCATCTCAGTACCATTTGCATTATCTCAGAAACCTAACTAGTCAAAGCCCCAGTAAAGAAGTGTGCTTTGAACAGCAGCCAAAGTCTGCCCTGGTGGATCTGACCAGAAGAACATCAGGAGACAGCCTGGCTGCTGGATCAGGCCCAAGGATCAGGCCCATCTAGCCTGGCATCCTCTCTTACTGTAGCCAACCAGGTGCAAGATTGGGCCGCTTGCTGTTGTCAGTGATGGCGAATGGAGAGTGAAGATGCTGTGATAGAAATGGATATCAGAGCAGCCGGGCTGCTGGATCAGGCCCAGGGGTCCTGATCTAGCCCAGTATCCCTTTGTCACTGGCCAGCCTGGTGGCAGATTGGACTGAATGCCACTATCGCTGGCAGCAAGCAAAGTCAAATGGAGACAGCAAGACCTGAGCACAACAGCCACTCTCCCCACAACTGGTATCCAGATGCATTTACTGTCTCCGACAGAGGAGGGAGCACAGAATCCCTTCTCCTCCTCCATGAATTTGTCTAAATCTCTCTTAAATCCATCCAAGTAGGGGGCCATCACTCCTTCTTGTGGGAGGGAGTTCCACCGTTTAGAGCACCCTGCTTCCAACCCACAAGGCATGGAGGCCACCGCTGTTGTCTCCTTTGTCGCCTGCATACTCAGAGGCACACTGCTCTTGGACATGCAGGCTCCATTTTAGATGTTCTCTATGAACCAGCTGCCAATAAACCAGAAGTGTAGAACCTGCAGCTCTCCCGATCTACAGATGCTGCCTGGACCCAATTATTATTTTTTTTGTTATTATGTTTTTAACAAAAGAAAGGCCTAGAATTCCATCTCTTGTCACCATTGCCCAGGTTAGTTCTTCAGACTCCTTTGCCAGCTCAGCCACAAATATCTGCCCTACACCTTTTGTGGTGAAGACAGCCACAAAGTATTCATTCATCCTGCCTGTAATCTTCCTTTAACAGTTGTCCAACTACTTCCCTTTCCATTTTCCTGCCTCTATTTAAATATATATTATCGGGCCTGGCATTTTAAAACAATATCCTCTCGTTTTTCAAAAATATTCTGTTTGCTTTCTCAGTAACTTACATTATCATTTTTCCTTACTTTTGCTTTCCTTTTTCTTCTCTTCGTCAGGAAAGTTTTCTAAAGGACACCTTCTTGCTTCTTATAGTTTCCTTGACACTGCTCATTAACCATGCTGGCATCCTCGTGGAGTTGGTGGTGCCTTTTTCGCTCTGATCTCCTGGAAACATCTCTCTATGCACAGACATTTTGTTGGCCCCCAAAGCCTGATTTTTATTTTATTTTTTACCATTAGCACTCCTGTTCATGTTATTATGATGTGCTTAGTGATTTTATACCATGTTATATTAAGCTTTCCTGCATATTGTACACTGCTTATATATATATATATGGATTTTTTTCTGAATGGAAAAGGAAAAGGAAAAAACCTGCAGAGCACATTCAAGGAGAGTTTCTTGATAATCTCCCAAGATGTAATCTTGTTTATGTATGCCACAATGGCAGCCAGGATACTTTTGGCCCAGAAATGGAAGCAGCAGGAACTTCCAACATTGGAAGAATGGTAGACCAAGATGACAGAATACGTCATCCCAAATCAAGGCGACAAACTGTTTCAAAAGGACTGGAGCAAATTTATATTATATATTAAAGAACATTGTAAACATTTGAAAACGTTTGTAGGTTTGAGTTGAAATATTTTGTAATGCAAACATAGGGAACTGATTTACATTTAACGAGGTGAAGTTTATTAAGAAGAAAAGAAGGTAAATAAGTGGATATAGTAATGCTAAGATGTAAGTGATTATTTATGAAAGCCAGAAAGCGGGACGGGGGGGAGGTTGATGTTCAGTGTGAGCAATGCTTTTGGTTATCGAATTATGTAATGGAAGGTGATTATGATAAAATGTAAATTAAATAAAATTATATATGTAAAAAAGATAATCTCCCAAGTGGTCTAAACTTGACTTAAGTGGGAAAGAGCTCCCTTCTTTCGACTTCCTCTTTCAGCTCCTCATACCTCCCAAGGGAGAAAAAAGAGAGTTATGAACAAGGGGGCAGCAAGCTGGATGGGGGCTCAGAGGCTTTGTGTTGCCAGGGAAAAGGGGACCTCACAGGTACCACTGAGGCCATGAGCACCATATTGGGGACCACTGGCCTGGAAAGCTGATGCTCTGTCTCTCGTCAGAGGTCTCCAACTCCAGGCTGGACCATTATCTGGAGCTGGGGATTTTCTAACCCTGACTTCCAGGGACAGCCTCCCCCAGCACTAGTACAGAGTTCCTTTTGGAGGATGGACAGGCTATACATGAAAGGAAATAGTGTAAAAACTTTCCTGTATATTATGTTTGTCTTCTCGTTTATTTATTTTTTACATTTGTATTCTGCTTTCCCCCCCCAAGGAGCTCAAGGCAGCAGACGCAGGTCAGTCCCCTACAATATAATATTCACAACGACCCTGCTGGTTGGAGAGGTAGGGAGTGCCCGGCAAATGCTTTCGCCACAGGGAGCTTAAAAACGTAAGAAGGGCTGGATCAGGCCAAAAGGGAGCCCATTTGGTCCAGCATCCCATTCTCACGGTGAGCAACCAGATCCCCCAATGAGATCCACCCATGAGAAGCAGCCTAGCACAACAGCCCTCCTCCCTCCAGTGGTTTCCAGAGACTGGTATTCAGCATCATTCATTGCCTCCGGCCATGCAGAACAGGGGTAGAGTCAGGGCCAAGTGGGGATTTGAACCCAGGTCTTCGCTGTGGTTAAACTACAGAGCCTAGGACTTGCCAATCAGAAGGTCAGCGGTTCGAATCCCCGCGACGGGGTGAGCTCCCATTGCTCGGTCCCTGCTCGTGCCAACCTAGCAGTTCGAAAGCACAAAGTGCAAGTAGATAGATAGGTACCGCTCCGGCGGGAAGGTAAACAGCGTTTCCGTGCGCTGCTCTGGCTCGCCAGAAGCGGCTTAGTCATGCTGGCCACATGACCCGGAAGCTGTACGCCGGCTCCCTTGGCCAATAAAGCAAGATGAGCGCCACAACCCCAGAGTCGGCCACGACTGGACCTAATGGTCAGGGGTCCCTTTACCTTTACCTTCCTAACCTTAGCCCGAGACTGTAACCACTATCCCACAAGGGCTCCCCCTTGTGGCTTTGTCTAGGAAGTTCTTCCTTTGTTATTCTCACTCTGGAATTGCAGCCGTCCTGCACCTGGGATTCCAGCTGTGGATGATTCCTGGAAGGAATCATCACCCTGCTTGCAAGATTCCACACTCCTAAGTGTGCTCTCGGCAGCCGGTTATTTTCTCTCTTTCTCTCTCTCTGCTGACCGTGTAGAGAGCACAGCAGCAGACTAGGCAGCTGGTCTAAATGGCAGATGATGACACCCGTCCTTCCAGCCAGCGCTGGCCCATCTCTCTCCTGACCACCCCTTGAACCTGGCCGCTCCACCTGCAACCTCTAAAGCTCTGGCACAGGGCACCTCGTGTCCCTGGTCTTAAAGCAGCCCCCAACAATTCTGGGACTGAGGGTGGGGAAATATTCAAGATCTCCTTGCCTGCGCTCATGTTGGTCTTGTATTGCCTTGGAGCTAGATGGGCCAATGACCTAACTCTGTACAAGGCAGCTTACAGTGTTCCTGATTAAAGGTAAAAGGTAAAGGGACTCCTATGGTCTCCTATGTAATGTAATGTCTGTCTGGAAATCAAATGGTGGGGGCTGCATGCAGAGAACCTATGGATTTGTATCAGGGTGGAGAACCTGCAGCCTGCCAGATGTTGGGCTCCAAAGCTACCACCAGCCTCAGACAGCATGGTCAGTGGTCAACAACATCTGGAGGGCCACAGATGCCTCACCTCAGTCGAAACCAAGAATGACCAACACAGAAAG